GAAAGGAAGGAAGGAAGAAAAGAAAGAAAAAGGGAAAAGAAGAGAAAAAGAAAAAAGGAAGGGAAAAAAGGAAGAAAGAAAAAGAAAAGAAGAGAAAAGAGAAAAAGAAGGAGGGGAAGGGAAGACAGAGGTTCAGGCAGTGGAGTGGCCTCTGAAAGGTTCACCTCACCTGCGGCCATGCATCCACGTTGTCTCTGCTCTAAGGCCCTCTCCTCCTGCTCCTTCCCCACTAACTTCTGATCTCTGGTGACTTGTAGCATCTCACTACTGAGTTCGCCCATCCTGGCCAAGCTGGTTGTGATGGGGGATGAAGGGACAGGATTGTTTCCATGACAACCACGCAGAGCAACTCTAATTATACACTCCTGACGATGTACCCAAACCCCGATGTCCACCGGGTTACCCAGTGACCCCAGCCACTGAGACAACAGTCACCATTTTCTAATTCACCACGGATCACAAGTACCATATTGAGAGTTTCTAGATCACGTGGAAACCATTCAGGACTGGTTTCCTGTCGCTCCCTGAGTCACGGTCCGGGGGCATCTGAACGAGGTAATTAAAGGAGGGGCATGCCCTTGTAAAGAGAACTGAGAGGTGCCCTCTGTCCTTCGTCACGGTTGTCGCGGTGATGTTAACACTCTGTGCGCAGTGGCCAGAGAGTCTAGCTGGAAAGGCTGCTAGCCCCGCGCCTCATCTGAAGACTGCGAGTCATCTCCTCGCCCTGATGCTCCGTGTCCACGTCTATAAAACCACGTTCATAAGTACTGTCACTTTCTGGCCCTACTAGGAAAATTCAGGTAAGGTTTACGCCCACTGTCTACTCGAACGCTGCCCAGAAGAGACGCACATCCTAACCTCCTTGCTTAATCTGCGCCCTCGTCAAGCACCGCCCACCCCCGTCCTGGTTACTGAGCGTAAGGACCCAGTTTACAACGCTGAGCCCATCTCTGCGCGTTCACTTCCCCCGCCGGAAGGTGCAGCCACGACAGCAGGGGGCCCCGGGGCCAGCGACGGCTGGGTCTTCAGTGTCGGGCACACAGTAGGAATTAAATAAACGCTTGTTTCGTATGAGAATAAATACCTTAAAGCAGACAGTTGTATTCAGCACACAGTAAACACTCCACGGATGTGAGTGGCGGTTGTGTGTTTAAAACACTAAGGGGGACCTTGGCATTGTCCTCTGTGTCATTTTTGTCACCCAAAGGGAAAGGCGCTTTTGTTTATTGTAAAATTCGTAACTTCAGAGACTTTCTCACAATCATACGAGGTCATATTACCAGTTTTCCAGAGAGCTGCACACTTTCACCCCGGATCACTCAGGTGAGGTTTCACACAAGGGCCGTCAAACTCAAACCAACACTTTCTTCAGGGTGAACATCCTCTGTTCCAGCCATTTTCTCTAAAAAGAGGTCCATGGGGACAGGAAGCAAATATAGTCTGCCTTTTGGAGGAGTTGACTATTTATTTTGGAGGAGAGGTAACGTGAATGCATGAAAAATACAGTACGAATCCTATGAACGTGACAATACTTGACAGTTTTAGGTCCAAGCGAAAGTCAATTCCACGCGGTTCTGACAGAATCTGATATATACAAAGAAGATCTGATGTTCCAAGTGAGTGGTCCTGACACTCAGAATCCAAATCAGAGAGCCTTCCTCCTTTCTGGGTCGCAGACCTCTTTGAGGGGACGTTCCTTCCATTGGAAAATACATTCTAACTAACAGAAGTGCCGTAAAGGTTAGGCGGGTATCTTAGATCACCTGGGTTCACGGCCGTCAGCTGAAAACAGCTGGTTTCAAGGATGCAAAATTATCTTCAGTATGAACGAAAGGGGATATACGCAAGGTCCACAGCATCAGACTTTCAGGACTAAGTAGAAATTTGAAATTTAAATGAAAGGATTAGGAGGTTACCAACGACCAGTTACAAAGATAAATAAATCACAGGGATGCCATGACTAGCACAGGCAACACAGTCATAACATAGCGGGAACTTGGGAAGGTGTGGAATTTATGAAAAACATCAAATCACCACGTTGTCCACCTGAAACTACTGTCATCTTGTAACTCAACTGTACTCCCATAAATAAAGAAAACGTAACAGTGGTGCTTCTCTCTTAGCTGATCTAAATGTCTTCTCCAGGGATTGGCGTGTTTTACTGACAGCCGCGGACGCCGTACGGACTTAAAGCAAACTCCCTATTATTTAGGAGGAATCTATTTAGCTTGGAAACTCTCCCCGGGCTAAAAGCAACAAGGGTGCCTTTCTTTGGAAAACAAATTGACCCACTGGAGACAAGATGATAGTATTTAAAGTAATAATCAAATCTCGATCAACAATTGCGCAGGCGCCCCCACTCTCACGGCAGAGACGGCGGCTGGAGGCCGTCAGGCAGGAGGATGCTGGCCAGCGATTTCAGACCGGAGCTTTGTCCCCGTTCCTTCCCTTGCCGGCCACCATCTCCTCATTTGCCTATAGGTCAGATCCACACCTTTATACGGTGGAGGCCACATGACCTGCAGGGCTGGCTGCAAACCACAGCCCGCAGTTAGAGGTGTGGCCACGTGCATCACTTTTGGGGTAGCTTTCCAGAACAAGTGCACACAGAGCTGCAGAAGTCAATCCTGGTTATTTTTACCTCCTCTTGTCCAGTACAAAAGTATCCTCTCCTCCAAACCCTCACGGCCCCTGGAAGAACACCCTCAGTGCCCCCAGTACACGTCAGTCCTTCTCCACAGGGAGGGAGGGGAGTAGCACCATGCAGAAGGGCGTGTGGGTTCTCTCACGCACCTGCGTGTAGTGGCCCAGATGGACATGCACGTGTGTGCTGAGTGTGTCTCCAGGTACCTCACTTAATGGGCATCCTCAGTCTACCAAAATCAACTCGTCAGAAAATAAGGGCCACCACCAAAGCAGAAAGTCGTCTGATATTACGGTGTGGGATAACGAAAAGTTACGAATGTAACGGTAACTCTATCCAAGACGCCCACAAGCACACGTTCGCTGCCTGCAAACTGTTTCCCCCTTTTTTCCTGGGTTGTCTTAGTTTTCATGGCGTTTATTGAAATGCAACTTGGTGTGCATTGAGTCTAAAGAAAACGTTCAGCTTCTTAAAATAAAAAGCCATCTGATAAACTAAAATAAAAATACACTGTCATCAGTTAGATAAGGTAAATATATTCTGCGCTTAGATTGTTGGAATAAAGAGTTTTTAACCTTTATTGTATGCACAATTCTACTTACACAGCGTGGATATTGAGTTTTCACATAAGCCTTTTCTTTGCTAAGAGAAACAAAATACAAGGTGGGCAGGGCAGCAAACAAGACAGCTGGTCTACCTCACTGGGGGGCTGGCTCAAGTTGCTGCCAAACCCCAGGGGCACTTGATACTGTTGCCTGCGGTGAAGGTTCTGGAATTGTAATAGAGGAGACCAAATCTGACTCCATATTAGATCTGTTCCTTTGGCTTGAACCCTGTGCCCTGTTTTCTAGGCTTCGTCTCGCTAGCTCTGCACTCACGTAAAGGTAACAAGTTGCAGAATAGAGAATAACATTTGTTTCGTTGGAGGTTTTGCTGGAGCACCATGAGCTGGCCCAGGTGGACAGCTGCAGGAGCAAAGGATTCCTGCACCAAGAAGTTTGCAACAACCAACTACGCCCCCTCCCCTGGTTTGGTTTGGTTTGGTTTGGTTTGGTTTGGTTTGTATAAAAGGAGCCTGCATTCTGACTGGAGCAGGATGGCTCTCAAGACATTAGTCTGCCACCCTCTCGGTCTGCCGGCTTTCCGAATTAAGTCGCTATTCCTTGCCCCAACACCTCGTCTCCCGATTTATTGGCCTGTCACGTGGGAGGAAGAACGAGTTTGGACTCAGCAACAGAATCACTCCAGGTCGGTAAAAGCCAAGGATCAGAGTGAGAAGGTGTGTCTGGGCAAGACCGTCTTCCCAGTTGGTTGATCTGCTGGACAATGTGGACCCGACAAAAGGAAAGAGTTTGCTTCCCTGGGGACAGAGGCTGGGAGACATTCCAGAGGCAAACCACTCGAGAAAAAGCATGGCCTCAAGGACTCAAAAGGACACTGGGTCTGGAAGGCATGACATTACACCATCTCACTGCTGCCAGTGCTTCCCTTCCCTCCAAACGCCATCCCCTGGCCCATGCTCGAGAAACCAGAAACCAAAACTCTGGAACAGGAAACCCAAGAGGAGTCAAAATGCCAGATGAGGCAAGAGAAATGAAGGAGTGAATGGTCTCATTTTCCAACAGCAGGATTACGCCGCCAACGTCGAGCTACAAGAACTTTCTCACCGAAGATGGAGACAAAAACACCGAGAGACGTCCCCATGTTTCTTCAACTGTGCTATGATGCATGAAGCCTTGGGCGATTCATGTCATGTCAAATAAATATTTTTAATAATTCACTGAGTAATTTTCCAATATAAAATAATTACCCTCCACCCACCTTTTCGTGACCTGAACTCACCCAAGGAGATCCTATGTTTCTAATAGCCTGTAATTTGGGTAAAAGTCATCTCTCTCGTGCATTTGTCAATAGAGATTATTTGCAAAGAAGTATTTGAGAGATAGTAGGTCATGGGAACGCCATCTACAGCGTAGAGACTACAGTGAACAATGCTGTGTCGCATATTTGAAAGTTGCTAAGAGAGCAGATCTTACAAGTCTTCAAAACTCTGTAACTATGTGTGGGGAGGAATGTTAACCAGACTTATTACAGTGATCACTTTGCAATAGACACAAATATTCTATCATTATGTTGTACACCTGAAACTATTATAACGTGCGTGAATTATAACTTAATGTAAAAGAAGAATGAATATACGTCTATGCATGACTGGGACATGGTGCTGGACGCCAGAAATTGACACCTTGTAACTGACTGTACTTCAGTTAAAAAAAGAAAATGTCTGTTTAAAACCCCCAGTCAGTGGCATTTTTGTTACAGGAGCTTGAATGAACTAAGGCCACGAGTATGTAACATACATTCCTGGGAGAGAATTGCTGGAGAGAAAATTGAGTCTCTTTTGGAATTTGAGTCTTTAATACTGAGTCTTCCAAAAGCCTCCATCCATTCATCCACCCTCTAGCAAAGTGTGAGAAGGCTCCTTTGACCAAGCCCGCAGGTAAATGAATTTAGCTTTGCCACTAAGCTAGGCAAAAGTATAATAAAATCAAGTAAAATAAAATAACATTAATTTGCCTTTCAATAAACATGAGTGGGTTTTGGCATTTCTGTTGATGAGTTTTAGACATTTACATCCTCAACTATGTGCTTCCTAACAGTTCTGACAGTCATTTACAAGACTCCCCTCTATATTTTGGGGTGCTGCTTAATTTCTCAACTTCATTCTCTATTCAGCGTTCTCCTGGGCACAGAGTTTCCATCTCTGACTCACAGCACTTCCCTTCCTGCCTGCAATTCACGGTGGGGCAGGCATTTCACACCAAGTGAGATTTGGAAATCCACGAGACGGGGGAAATGTGCACTCCGGGACCCTATGGAAACTCGCCAAAAGTGCCAGCTCAAGCAGTTTCATTTTCTACGTGACATTTGTCACGCGGCACACACGGCCCACTTTAAATTGCACATCTGACCTTTTTCACAATAGCAGCAAATGCCGAGAGAAAATGCAACGGCCTTCACTTTGTCTCCTAAGCCTCTGGAGAAGCTGTTTCTCACGGTCCGTGGCTAGAAATCTATGGCGAGATGGTCAAAGTGCCTGAAAACCAGCCATCAATATCCAACAGTTTTCCATCCGGGGGGACGTCAGACACACGTGTGGCCCTGTGTGTGGGGGGGGAGCTGGTTTTCCTGTGCTTTGATTCAGGAATGGTGCTGCGGGATGCCACCAGGGTTGAACCGCGATTCAAAGGAAATCCACTCTTAATATGGCATTTATACAGGGTAAGCCAAGCAAATCCCTCTACTGCCCATTTTAAGGACAAAATAAGTTTACACTGTGAGGTCACCAAAGAAAGGTTGTGTAAACACTCCAAGGGACTAACGCTGGAAATGTAAAAACTAAACTTCCCCTTTCTCCATCCAAGCACCCTAACTACGATTTTCCATTTAGCTTTTTAACTAAAGTAACAATAGATGTTGGTGAGTTTTGAACATGTTTGATGATAATATAAATATAATATATATATATATATATATTATATATATAAATAGTGCTGAGTTCACATAGATAATTATTTTAAATTAAGGAACACATCTCTTGACAAATGTAAGGCAGTAGAATTCACATCATGCAATAAAGAAAAAAATTTATATATATACATCCACAGTCATTTATATTTGGATATGCTTAATGAAAGAAAAATCATTTAACTTTAAAAGCTGTTCTGATTTAAGAATTAATGAACTAAAAACGAAGTGTTAAGAAGTGCTTCTGATGCTCACTTCAGCAGCACATATTGTAAAATCAGAGCGATACAGAGATTAGCGCGGCCCCTGAGAGCAAGGATGACATGCAAATTCGTGAAGTGTTCCATATTTTTAGGGATAAATTTGGGAGCTTGAGATTCGCAAATGCTAGCCACTGTATATAAAAATAGATATTAAAAAAACCAGATTTCTTCTGTATAGCATAGAGAACTATATTCAATATCTTGTAAAAACCTTTAGTAAAAAAAGAATAAGAAAATGAATATGTATGTATATGCATGACGGGGACATTGTGCTGTACACCAGAAATGGGCACATTGTAACTGACCATACTTCAATTAAAAAAAAAAGTACCTCTCAATTGTTTGAACTATTTCTTCTTTAAGGATAATAGATTTCTGGTTCTATGTATTTGGCATGACAATAATTTAACTATTCTTCCAAAATCTTGAAAACATAAAATAGCAAGGATATGAGATCTCAACTGTGAATATTCATGGGATGTTAAGGAAAACACAACCATTTAAAATTTTAAGTTCTCTTGGAAAACGTATCTTGGCAATCTTCCCCTCCCCCCCAAATGTGTATTCAGTATTTCTTTTGTCCATTTTGACTTTCCATTCATGAAGCTACAGCATCCATGGAGGCACTGAGATTGTGATTTACTATAAACTGACCGTGAAATGCAACCATCATGATAATTACAACAATTACTGCAACATGAAGAATCCCACGGATGGAAATGGTCAAAGATAATCATTATTCAGTGTCAAGAAATAAGTCATTTTTCTGATAACCGGGAGGACAGTGCCCTAAGGTCTCTTTGGATGCTTTATCATCACCAATCAAGTTAAAGGTTTCAATGATTTTCATTCCATGAGGAAACAAAGGAACAGATATCACCTTACAAAATTAAAGCATGGAGCACGTACCACCACAGGTTCTTCAAATAAACAGGAGCCTCTCTTGTGATAGCAACAAATCCCCTGTCAGTCCAGGAAACATTCATTTTAAATCTAAAAGGGTTTAAACCTCATTTACTTCCTCAGTTCCCAGAGGAAGTAGATCTCACCTGTCTATGACATTCAAGGGCACACATCATGCTGCCCAAGTGTGGACCCACCATTCCTCCCCCAGCCCAGGACCATGTACTATATGGTTTTGCTCACAGCCAGCGTAAGAACTGCCCCCCAGCCCCATTTGTCTGCATGTCTCTGTTTTTCCCACTGGACTCTCTTCCCACGGGCTCACCTACACGTGATTTCAGGCATCAGATCTGAGAACATAACATACGTAGCCTCCTGTCTGTCCCCACAACTCTTATTTGGCAGATTCACCACACAGTTTATAACACAGTATTTCTTATCAGGCTCTCTGCTTCAGGAGTGCCTTGGTCCGGTTTAGCACCAAACTCCCTGCTCCACCCCGTGTCTGGTACCTAGAAAGAGGTGCATAAATGTCTGTTGCCTTGGCTTTGTTTTATCACAGGAATGAGACAGGAGCTTTAAAGGACAATAAAAATACCAAACCATCTTCCGGTTATGATCAAAAAGCTTTGCTTATGTAGGTAGAAAGCCAATAAACGACTTCCTCCAAGAATAAAACTGAGGGAACTGCTCCTTCCCGAAATGCTCACTGCGTGACAATGTTTACGTCACACGGCATCGGGGTCCAGTCCCGTCGGAGACGGTGATGTAACCCATGGCAACGCCACGCACACATCTCAGGGAGTTAGTGATGGAGAGGAAAGGCTGTCTGGCTTTACCTTCTGATCAGCGCAGTGGATCACTCCCGTATCGATGGAAAATTTGCTGTAACTCCTTTATCTCTCTCTCTTTTTTTTTTTTTGACATGTAGGTAATTGACAATGTTCTGGTAGTTTCTGGTGTACAGCATAGTGAGTGATTCAGTGATACCTATATGTATACTTTTTCATATTCTTTATCCTATTTCTGATTTCAGTTTCAAAGCTTGCAGTTAGTTGTTTTTTTTTCCACTGTATTCTCAAAAATACAGCAGCACTCAGGTAAAACTGAGACAACCTAAACCATGGCAGGTTCTGTACCACGTTTGGTAATTTTCTGTTAAACAATGTTACCTCCGTAAAATAGTGTAAGTGATTCTTTATCACTATTTATCATTCATATCACAATTTACTACATAGCATGCATAAATTACATAGTTAATTATCTGCTATACATGCTACAGTTATTGTTGACATTACCCTACTTAAAATATTTCTGTGGACTGATATTTTTCAATCCGAGGATGCCTGCCATGAAAGGAAACAGTATTCAACATTTTATCACCATGAAAGTTGGCCAAGGTCCCTCAATCATGACCACTTCTCTGATTTTCCTTTCAAATATGTATCTTGGGAAATGCATCCTATGAGCATTGATTATGTAAGATTTATATTACATATTTATTTTCTTTGCCACACATACATTAGTCACTGATGAAATCATCTTTAAATCACTATTCCTTGAGTAACATTTTGCACGAAGCATTACTCTCAGAGGCCACTTGCCCGACAGGCAATAGCTTCTGAAATCATACATCATGAAGTTGTAAGTATCTAGTAACAGACAATGCTCTTCAAATCTTTGTTTAGACGAGGACTTTAGAAACGGAACTCCTCTTTATGGGAACCTCTACTTGAGCCTCTTGTAATGGTCCGGTGTTTTCTATCTTAAGTGTTTTCCATCTTATGAGCTTCCCACGCAAGGAGATGATCTACAGAAACTAAGTGGAGATTCAACATCACTTTCCATTCTCTTTCCCAGAGTCTAAGTGTAATAGCAAAGAACAATTCTGACTCCATATGAAATCTGTTTCTTTGCCTTTAACCCTGTGCCCTGTTTTCTGGGCTTAGTCTCGCTGGCTCTGCACCTTCTGTAGAAGGATGTTGCCTCGAGCCTGAAATAGCCAGGAGAGCGGGTTCTCAAGGCTCTGACCTTTAAGGATATTAACACTGTTGCACTTATATAAAGATAACAAATTGTAGAATGGAAAATAACAATTGCTTTGTTGGAGGTTTACAGGGACACCCCTGATCTGACCACACGGACAGCTGCAAGAACAAAGGATTCCAAGAACAAAGAATTCCTAACCCAAGAAGTTTGCAACAACCAACCACACCCCTCCCCTTTTCAGTATAAAAGGAGCCTGAATTCTGATTTGAGTAAGATGGTTCTCCAAGACATTAGTCTGCCATCCTCCCGGTCTGCTGGCTTTCTGAATAAAGTCGCTATTCCTTGCCCCAACACCTCAGAGTCTCCCGATTTATTGGCCTGTCGTGCAGCGAGCAGAACGAGTTTGGACTCGGTAACATAAATTCATCATTAACCCCTCTCTGATTTCCTTCCCAAGTATCTCTTAAATGGTTCCATCCACCTCTCTTCATCTTGGCCGTTCTGGTCAGGGCTACCAGCCTCTCTCTGGATAACAG